GCTCTCTGTTTCCTTCTGCAAAGGATGTATCTCCTTTCATGGGCTCCTGTTCACAGGCGAGGAGACCAAGAGTTGACTGTGTGTGAGAGGAGAGGACTGAACTACTGTCTGGAGTCTCCTAAGAGGGACAAGGACGTGAGAAGAGTTTCAGTGTTTGTAGGGGAGAAGACAGGGCAGTCCAGAGGCTCAGCAATATTAACATTAAACAGTAAGGGAGAACAGTAGAAGGCAAGGGTGGGAGAGACATTGTTCTTACACAGAATTAATAGGCACGGCCCCAACATTCTGAAGAAGAATATTCTCAGATTGATGTCATAAATAAAAAAATCAAACTGGTGTGGACCAGTGACATTGGCCAATGTATATAGGCATTTGCTTCTTTTTCTGACAATCTGATGCCCGTGAACCAAGTTGTCCTCTGACCTCCACTCAAGTGCTATGTCCTGCACCCACCCACCCATGCTGAGACTGGTCCTGATACAAACTCACATGCAGACGTAATATGTGAACTAGTGTAAAAAATAAAAGGAAATGGATTGATTCAATACCGTATCCCCTAGCCTATGAATTATTCAATAAATCTATGGGCATACAGGGTTCTGGAACATTCATTCATTCATTCATTCATTCTTTCATTCTATACAGATATCCAAGTTTTTTTCTAGGCAGTATTTTTTTTTAAAATAAGACAAATAAAGTTTCTTTTTGGTGCCCCAGTCTTCATGGACTTGAAGGAGAAGTCAGGTGTTGATTGGAAGTCCAAGAGGAACAGAATAACAGTGACAACAAAGTCAGAGAGTGAAGATGTGGGGTGTGCAGGGGAAGAGGTCCGGCAGGCATCACCCCAACACCAACACTGTAAATGTGAGCAGGGGTCGATGGCAGTGAGACAGGGCCATGTTGACAACTGAGGAGAGAGCACAACTGAGTGGAAATGACAAGTGTGGGCACTCTGAACATGGGGGGCACGTGATGACCTCCACCAGGTGGGACAGGGAGACACTCCCACACCTAGGATGAGCAGTTAACACAAGTGCTCAGGACACAGGGGCCCATGTCAGTCAAAAGTTTCTATTTAGATGGATCTTTCCCTTTCCTTCTAGTTTTCCTTTGGACTTGTGGGCACCATGCCACCTCTGTCCAGCCCAGTATTGAATCAGTGCCACCCAGCGTCGCTGAAGGCGGAAGTGTTCTTCTCCTCGTTCACAATCCACCACTGAATATTATAGCCTTTGTCTGGTTCAAATGGGTGAATTCGTTCAGGAAACTTGAGCTTGTCAAATACCTAGTAGACAGGAAAGCAACTCTGTGGGGGTCTGCATACACTGGCAGAGAGACGCTGTACAGTGATGGATCCCTGCTGCTTCATGGTGTCACTCACAAAGACCCTGGAGTGTACACTGTACGATTTCTGAGAACAGACATGAGAAATGCAGAAGCAGAAGTGCAACTCAAGGTATACGGTAAGTGACTCTCTGTGACTGTTCAGCTCTGGGTGGGGCTTAGACACACAGGACTGTCATGGCTGCCCTGGCCTCCCTTCCCTCTGCACTGTGTCCCCACAGGGAGGTTTGAGCACTTAGCACAGGACACATTGGTAGAGACAAATGACCACAGATCATCCTCCATCTTCTGACTCCACCTGCATCAAGGAAGACCTTGATGGAAAGTAACTCAGCCTAAGATGTCAGAGTCAGCCCAGGCTCTTGGGGCTCTAGAGTAGAGAGGCCTGAATCCTGTCATCTTTCCATGGCTGGACTAAAGTGATGCAGGGGAGCATTTCCTAGTGCTCTACTCTTACAAAGCTGATAGGGAACAATGGTTTTAGAACATCCATGTCAAACTGGGGTATTTATTGGCTCCAAATTGAGAGTGTCATAAATGAAATCCAGTAACTGGCATAGAGCCCATGAAGGAGTGCTTTCTATTGGCTTGCTCTTCATACTTGCTCAACCAGCTCTCTCTCTTTTTTTAAAGATTATTTATTTTTTTTATTTTTATTTTATTTATTTATTTATTATATATACAGTGTTCTGCCTGCATGTATCATTGCAGGCCAGAAGAGGGCACCAGATCTCCTTACAGGCAGTTGTGAGGCACCATGTGGTTGCTGGGAAATTGAACTCAGGACCTCTGGAAGAGCAATCAGTGCTCTTAACCACTGAGCCATCTCTCCAGTCCCTCAACCAGCTCTCTTACATCACCCAGGACTCCTGGCCCATGGCTTGAACTGCCTGCATTGGTCTGAATCCTTTTGCATCAATTACAAATTTAAAAATATGTACTATAGCTTTGCCCACTGGCCAGTCTGGTGCTGGCGTTTTCAACCGAGGCCGTGTCTTGCAAAATGACTGTAGTTTCTGCCAAGTTGACATAAAGCCAGCCAGCCTTTTCAAGACCTGAGCCTGCCTTGAAAATGAGACTGCTCCCAGCTCCCACACAGCCCCAGACCTAAGGGCTACTTGACAGATTAGCAAGTACATCTATTAGGTGTGGTCAGGGGTTGAGTGTTACCTCAAAGAAACTGAGGAAAGAACCTAGACAGTGAAAGTTCCAGGCCTGTTGAGTTAGGGGAGGCATCGTCTCAAACCCCAGTGTGCATGAGTGTGTGCAGTGTCTGACTGAGGGCAGTGAGGGAGCAGCCTTTTAGACACCCAAGGGGACAATTCCATGCAGTGGACATGGCACCTTCAGGGGCACTGTTGGAAAGGAGGAGGTCATGTTTCTGCCCTTCAGTAAGTGGGGTACACACACACACACACACACACACACACACACACACACACACACGCACACACACACCTGCAACTCTAGGCTGAGTGACAAATCCATCTGCTCAGGATGGAGGTCACCATCTTTTCTCCAAGCACAATGATCCTCATGTGATGGTTTTTTTCTCTTTTCCCTTTCAGCCTCCCTTTCTGTGTTCTGTAACCCTTTTACTTCTTCCCAGCTCACGATCCACCCGGAGCCTCTGTATCCTGCTAAAGGGGAACGTGTAGTTCTCCAAGTTCATAATTTCCCAGAAGATATGCTAGCCTTTACCTGGTACAAAGCAAATTATAGGACCCCGTTCCTTAAAGTTGAAGACCATAGCATGGCCAGGACTTCCTTCTCCTGGGGAAAAGGGATGGTGTACTATAATGGAACCCTGATGCTCCGGGATGTCACTGAGAAAGATGCAGGAATGTACACACTGGAAGTTTTAAGGAAGCATTCCAAAATTGAAAAAGCATACGCGGAATTCTACATAAAGAGTAAGTGGCTCTCTATGGCTCCAAGCTGCTGGGTGTGGCCTATCCTACTTCATACACTAAAGCTGTCAGGACTGGGCTGTGCCTACTCTCTCCCCTACTGCATTGTGTTCTCTACCGGGGTTTCAACACCTACTCCAGGACACACACAAGGTAGACAAACTAATAGATCAGAACCCTTCACCTGTCCTTCTTTACCTGCAGAGAGGAGGATCTGTGCTGGGTAAACTCAGCCCCAGGGTAAACTCAGCCCCAGGATGTCAGCTGGAGCCCAGATACTTGAATATGTCACCATACACATATCCCCAGAAAGACTCTGAGGGAGTTAGGCATTCCCTGGCTGATTAAACCATGGAGTCCTCACAGAGACCACCAGTGAACACAGACTCCAAAACTTTGACCCTGTCTGGACTCAAAGCGACACTGAGGAGCTTTTTTTTTTTAAATTACATTTTTAAAATTCATTTTACATACCAATCACAGATCCCCCTCTTTTCTCCTCCTGCCCCTCCAGCCATCCACTCAACCCATCCCCCATTCCCTCCTACAAGAAAGTAAGGCCTCCCATGGGGAGTCAGCAGAGCCTGGAACATTCAGTTGAGGAAGGTCCAAGCCCCTCCCCCTGCCTTAAGGCTGTGCCAGGTGTCCCCCCATAGGGAGTGTGCTCCAAAAAGCCAGCTTGTGCACCAGGGATGTATCTTGATCCTAATGCCAGGGGACCCCTTAGGCAGATCAAGCTGCACAACTGTCTTGCTTATGCAGAGGGCCCAGTCCAGTCTGGGGAGCTTTTTGTAAAGGTTTGTTTAGATTTCCTCTCAGAGCGACAGGGAGTAAGGCTTACTGACTCTCCAGTCATGGGACTATCCCATAGAGTGTAGAACCAGCTGTGTACTGACATAACAGCTGCAGTTAGGTAGGTCACCTGAGCATCTCCTTCTCCTGAAGCTCAGTGGACAGGTGTCTGGGCCATTAGCCTATTGTTCTGATGGACTTATGAGACTTTACAGGAAGGTCAAGGCACCAAGGGAAGAAACAGAGGAGGCAGATACGCCAGATTCCTCCTTCACCTCAGGGGTCCAGCCTAGGGAATTCTCTTCTGCAGGTGAATAGTAATAGATGCTGCTGACGGGAGCAGCTCCCCATCCCAAGTTCAGACCATTGCTGATAACAAAGCTTATCTTAAGGACTTGGCAAGGATCATGCACTGTGTGTGCTATTACAGGGAAACTGAGACACAGGGAACAGTGCCTGAATCAGGGTCACACAGTCCCTGGGTGGGAGATCCAAAGCACAAGGTCTGTCTGTAGTCACAGCTCCCAGTTCTCCCCCTGGAAGGTTTATAAAGTCTGAACTAACGAGGGCCTGGTTGAGCTGTCTGGACTCCTGTCATTTGGTACCCTCCTCTCTTTCTTCAGAGAATATGACGCAACCCTTTGTGCAAATCACTGACACTACATTCGCAGGACATAGATCTGTCATCTTCACGTGCATCTCACCCGACACTGATATCTCTATCCGCTGGATCTTCAATAACCAGAATCTGCAGCTCACAGAGAGGATGACTCTGTCCCCAACTAATTGTGGACTCAGAATAGATCCTGTGAGGGCTGAGGATGCTGGAGAGTATCAGTGTGAGGTCTCCAACCGATTGGGTTTGAAGACCAGTCTCCCAGTCTCCTGGCCACGATGAGTGAATGACCTCTCCTCTTATCCTACAGCAGAGTGGTGTCATATTTTTATCAATGGGGTACAAAATGGAGAAAATTATGTGGTGAAAATGATTAGTGCTACTCAGGCACAGCCTGCATGGTGACTCATGCCTGTAATCCCGGGATACAAGTATGTACAATGGAAGGCCAGGATTTAAAGCGAGGTTGTCTTACAAGGAAACTAAAGACATCAATATTATAAACAAAAATTATGGTGGTATTTTATTTGTACTGAAATGTGATTTTAATTGTATGTTAATAAATAAAGTTGCCCGGGGGTCAGAGCTATTAGAGCAAGAGCATGGCGGTGGTGGTGCACACCTTTAATCCCAGCACTTGGTAGGCAGAGCTAGGTAGATCTCTGTGTGTTCAAGGATACAGCCAACATTGGAGACACACACCTTTAATCTCAATACCATAGAAGACCTGGAGGGCTGTACATACAGGCAGTGACCAGGCAGTCATGTGTTTGGGTTTACAACCAATGAGAAGGCAGAACAGAAAGTCTATATAAAGACGAACAGACAGGAAGTAGTTCTCTTTTGGAGAGGTCTCTTGGTTGAAGAGGCTAGCTGCAGGGTAAGGCTGTTAGCTCTGATCTCTCGGCTTTCTTCTTTGCATTGGTTCTGTCTTTCTTTCTTTTTTTTTACTGAACAGTCTAGGTTCCCTTTTGCAAGTTTTTAATCTTATTGATAAAATAATTTTAAAACAGACTTATAAGGAATCTTGAACAACATTTTATCAGTTTGAGAGAAAAAGATGTAAGGCAGGAAAGCTGTAAAGTTAAAACTTTTTAGAAAGAGGGAGTGAAAAGGAGGGGAAAAGAGTCAAAAGGGGTGACAATGGAGGCCTGAAAGCAACTGCAGAAAATTGGGGAGTAAGGGGCTCCTGAGATGTAAAGTACGTATCTCATGAAGGGGATAATTATTCTGCCCATCTTCTTTTCATGGCTTCAGGCAAATCATTTTTCATGAGTGGCAGTCTCTTGTCTAGCTGATTGAAAGCAGCAGTTGAATTAACTCTTTAGGGAGAAGACAATTGTATACAATGTTATGATATATAGGGCAGATAAGAATATCACATCTCATTTATTATGGTATCTCTTTCCTTGTTCTCCCACTCTGTTCTTGATCCAGCTCAAACCTCCCACTCCCCTAAGCTCTCTTTCCCCCAACCCTTGCCCTCCATTAGCCCCACAACCAGTTTGCTCCTGTAGATCTCATCCATTTCTCCATCCCTGGGCTATCCCTGTGTCTTTCCCAGGGTCCTCCTTACTAGATAGCCTCCTTGGAGCTGTGGGTTGCAGTCTGGTTATCCTTTGCTTTACATCTAATATCCACTTATGAGTGAGTGCATACCATACTTGTCTTTCTGAGTCTGAGTTACCTCACTCAAGATGATATTTTATAGTTCCATCCATTTCCTGCAAATTTCATGGTGTCATAGTTTTTCTCTGCTGAGTAGTACTCCATTGTGTATATGTACAACATTTTCATTATCCATGCTTCAGTTGAGGGGCATCTAGGCTGTTTCCAGGTTCTGGCTATTATAAATAATGCTGCTATAAACATAGTTGAGCATGTATCCTTGTGGTATGAGTGAGCATTCCTTGGGTACATGCCCAAGAGTGGAATATCTAGGTCTTGAGGTAGATTGATTCCCAATTTTCTGAGAAATCACCACCCTGATTTCCAAAGTGGCTGTACAAGTTTGCATTCCCACCAACAGTGTAGGAGTGTTCCCCTTGCTCCACATCCTCTCCCACATAATCTGTCTTCAGTGTTTTTAATTTTAGCCATTCTGATGGGTGTAAGATGGTATCTCAGAGTCATTTTGATTTGTATTTCGCTGATGACTAAGGGTGTTGAGCAATTCCTTAAGTGTCTTTCAGCCATTTGATATTCTTCTGTTGACAATTCTCTGTTTAGCTCTATAGCCCATTTTTTAATTGGACTGTTCGGTATTTTGATGTCAAGTTTTTTGAGTTCTTTATATATTCTGGATATCAGCCCTCTGTCAGATGTGGGGTTGATGAAGATCTTTTCCCATTCTGTTGGCTGTGTTTTTGTCTTATTGACTGTGTCTTTTGCCCTGCA